TCGGTTTATGTAGATCACTTAATAGATCTATCATCGGATCACTCGCCCCTTCTACTTCACCTTTACGACCATCCACAGCTTTCGGAACGCCCACACTTTCTAACATCAAGCAAAACAGATTGGCTGAAATACAGGAAGTACATAAGTTCCCATAGTGATAGCTACCCAAACAATTATTTTAAAGATGACATTAATAGGTCAGTCGAAGCGTTAGTATCCTTAATGTCACTGGCAGCAGAACACTCAACACCAATATTAGCAGCTAATAATCTTTCCAACAGCAATCGTATTTCTAGGCACATTAAAGTGCTGCTACGTTAGAGTGGTAAGCACACAGATCACAGCCTACTGCCTTGCCTAACAAAGATTAAATGGTTAAATGGTGGTAATATAAAGATTAAAAATACTTTACGACCTATTCTCAGACCTAATTATGATCCGATCTGATTCAGATTCGGCAATCTGTTAGATATGGTAATACGATACTGCGTTTTTAGTTTTATCGTATCTTTAAAATTGTGCGGAGGCACAAATACACTTGTAGCAGTGTGATATCACATGAGTATAGAGTCGAGTCCCCAGAAGTGACTCAAGCGTTCCTTCTCGTTATATATATAGGCTACTTTATCCCGGACGGCCCTCACGGGGCCACGCATAGGCCCTTAGTTATCCGGATAAGTGCGTATGGATCGAGGAGATTTTCGCAAAGGCAAGAAGTTCCCTTGCTGCAGCCAGGCAGTGACCTGTAAGTATACCCACAAGCATCCTACTGTCCTTCCGTGGTAGGTGCAGTAGGTATTGGCTGATCCGCGATTCTGCAGGTGGTGGTTCTCCTCCACCTGCTTCTGGCCTGTATGTGTCCCGCCTCACTAGATCGCTTTGAAGCGTTTTGAGGGAGACAGGCACTTTCTCAGTCCTGTCGTCCACCAGAGTGGTTTGGTCCTCTTTTTCATTCTCGAGGGTGGGCATGATGCGTGGTACGCATCCAGTTGTTCCTTGGATAGGGTCTCTAGAGAAGTTTCTATGTCTTCCGAGGATTTCACTGTGCCCGGACGAGTCGCGAGCTTCGAGGTAACTGTCTTTTTAAACATTTCCCAGTTTGTGTTCCGGGGGTTTCTATAGACAGTTATCTTCGGAGAGTGTTTAAATTCGCACTTAACCATAATATACTTGTGATCTGTAAAGGATGGTCTTTCATGAACTCTTCAGCCAGATATCAAAGTACTCTTTCCCGTTACGAGTGTTAGATCTAGTACGTTAGACGCGATGCCACCTACGAAGGTGTGTTCCTCCCCCAATTTTGCTACATATAGCTTTGTAGATAGTATAAAGTCTAGAAGTGACTCACCTCTGTCGTTGGTATCGGTGCTTCCCCACACGCTATGGTGGGCATTGGCGTACCAACTAGAAGTTGCTGGTCTTTTGGACTGGCTTCGGCCACCAGACTCCTTAGCTCCTCCGGTGGAGCTGGCCTGTCGTGTGTCATGTAGCAGAAAGTACCACAAGGCGCTTTTCCTCGCTTTCAAGCCTAACCGCAGTCAGGTCGGCAGTGCTGTAATGAGACATAAGGTAAGCATGGATGCCCTTTCGTACGAGTATGGCCTGGTTCTGCTTACAGATGGTGGGTGGAAAAGGTTGTAATTAGAGAACTTTAGTCCGGCCACAGCATTGCCAGAGGAAATCCATGGCTGCTGGACCAAACCTATGTCGACGGGCCCTTGCTCCAAGGCAATCAGGAACTCCGCCGATGCGAGTTTACTCTTATGGAGATTGAGCTGCAGCACTCTCACTGTCATGGGGGGCTGGCTCAAGTTCTCTCGACGAGTTGATTATCACAGTCAGGTCACCGTCCTCTTCATCTGAGTCGTCCAGCGCAAGACTCTGGGCGGCCTCCGTGATGGATTCCAGACAAAAGTTCTTCTCCACCCCGCCTGCCTGCAGGGTGTGCGCATATTTTTCCTCTGGGTGGCGCTATTTGAGACGTATGCAGACGCTACCTACGCCCCACGCCATCTTCCCGAATCTCGGGTAGAGCATGTCCTCCGCCTCCTTGCAGATCTGAAGGATCATGTGCTGGCCCCCTCGTTGGGTAATGGGCTACCAGCATGCAGTACCCTCCAGTCTGCCGTTGACACGTCTTCGTTCTGCCTCTGAAGAAGCTTCAGTGGTCGGTCTCCCTGGACTGCAATGGGGAAGAGAACCTCATCCTTTGGGATCGACGGGATCATCTCCCTGTCCACTACCTCCAGCTTGGCCCCTTCCCATAGAGCTTCCAATTTGGGCACCACTTCCACCAGCCACTACCTCGTCGGGTCGTCGTTACACTTCAGTTTCTTCACCCCGTTCAACAGTCCCGCACCGTCGAAGGTGGGCATGGGATCGTCTGGCTCGTCCTCCATTCGCGCGAAAATGGATTCCACAAGCTGGGCGTGGACCTTTTTCCACTTCATCTTCCCCATTTCATCACTGCGGTCGATCAGGGCCACGATGAGGTGTCTCTTGGATATGTCGATCATCTTGACCTTGGCCTTCTGTTTGGGCTTCTTCGTCGTTGGTTGGGGTATAGCCACCTTGGGCCCGCGTTGCCGCTTGCTCGACGGAGTGTCCTGGCACTCTCTATCGAGCGTTGCTTTTTGGTGGCCATAATCTCCTCAACCTAATTGGCGAATTTGCCCTTCGTCGCCTGCAGCTGCGCGTAGTGCTACGGATTTGAAGGGTCGCCTTGTATTGGGCCTTAGCCTTCATTCCCTCCATGGAACGCTTCGGCCCTTCCCTACGCAGGGAGCTGGTACCGGGTTAAAGCGAGCAGAGAAGGCTATTCTCTTCCGTTCTGCTTACGCTGAGTACGCTCTTCACGTCCGAGTCTGTTTCGACCACGGCACCCGTGAGGCTCGGCTGGCAGTGAGGCGTTTTGGTGGCAGTAGCCTTGAAACTAATATGAACTGCTCCCGTCATATTAGAGTTGTGACCGCTGGCGACACGCAGAGAGGATTGCTCTTCCCCGTGCCCGCCGGTGGTAGCAGTCACTCTTTCGACCGTCGTAAGGACTGACATCCCAGTCTCGGTTCGATCATTTCTCCGCTCCATTGTGGCCCGAAAGTCCATATGGTTAATATTTATCGGGGGACCACCCCTAGCGTTTTATGCCTACCCGCCAGGCACCTCCAGCCATGGTCATGGTTCAGTTCACTCAATTTTAAGTCGCGAAGACCTGGACCTGGCCCTAGCTAGACACTGCATTACCTCGGACAGAGCAAGCGGCAATGCATTACCCGATCCGGGATAATGCAGTGCCCATTGCCCAGCCGGCACCCTCTGGGAGGATTCAGCAGGAGGATTTTCGCTAGCCTGTTATATTTATATGATAACAAATCAGAAATTTAAGCAACACTTTTCACACCTTTTTCCGACTTTTTCAACCAACTGACACTTTTAAGCAAAACAAATGCGTCTGGTTTTTAACGGAACTTTTAGTTAGCATACATTTGATTTTATTGATTTTTTCTGTTAACTTTTTCTACACTAACAACATATACAATTAATTGACAAGGAAAGGATTGAGATCTGCGACAGGACGATACTCTGGTTTGAAGCACACTTTTGTTCTTCCTATAGCCTCCTGTTGGTCAGCTCAGTTGGATGGACTTGAGCCAGCTTTCGTAAACGTGAACCTGTAGCGAGTCTCCTTGCCAGGAAGTTTGGGTTCGGGCTGTCTGTTTACATTTGATGGCCCTTGAAAGGCCTACTTCATACATCAATACTAACGTTTAAAAAAAAGGTAAGGACAACTTTATCCAAAATCGCGATTTTCCAGCAAGGTTTTTTTTTCGAATGTTTTTAATAGTATTTTGGCTATTTGGGATGGAGACAAATCTCTGCTTTCCTGACCACCGATACCCAAATGGCACATTCTTGTTTCCGCTGCAACTTCTTAACTATAATGACCTTAACAACTGCAATCGCCGTTACAACATCAACATCAAGTAAACACACAATGTAAACCAAAACCAAATTAAAAAAATGTGGGTTCGGCTAGGGAGACCGAATTGGATCGCTCAAATTAAGAAAAAACGCAGGATTTAAAACATACAAATCAAGAATAAACTGTGGAAGTTCAAATCACATAGCAAGTGTGACGTCAAACAACACCAACACATTTACGTTTCTGGCTGATAATGCAAACGATAAACCAAACGAAGCTGGACAAAGGATCCAAAAAAAGCCAAGTCATCATGCTTTATACAGGTCCAGCTCGCTAGTTAGCTAAGTTGTTCAACTTTTTAGGCGTTGGATATTTAAGAAAGCCATTAATAAGGGCAATGTCTGGCAATCAGTGTGGCGTCCAGACCTTCAAGTCGACATGTACAAAAGTTTCCACATTTTTATACTTCAAGAGTTATGGGGTATATTAGATTTGTGGTCGAAGCACAGAAGGTAACATTTCCTACCGCATAAAGTATCTATGTATTTTCTTTTTTATCCTTGCTTCTTTTACTTCCCTTACGTACACAAATATGTATACTCAAAAGCAGCAAACAAAAAAAAAAAGAATGCATTTGAATGAATTCGGAAACTGCCCTCACTCACTCATTCAATTCGTGCCTTGTCGTTTCAATGTTGTGTGTATGAGTTTTACGTCAGCGCACTCACTCACTCAAACTCTGTTGACATAGCATTCGAACTCACTCAATTCATTTTGAGCATTGTTAATTCGAATGCCTGTTTTTTATAATTCATGCAGATCTCTAGTATGTACATATAATCTAGATCAGCATCAATAGCCGAGTCTATGTCTGTCTTTCCGTCTTGTTTGACGCCTAGTTCTCAGAGACTATAAGAGCTATAGCCAACAAATGTAGTTTCCAGACTCATGTAATATCACACTGAATCGTTTGTTTTAAAAATTTGCTGGTTACTGCTGGTTTGGGTAAAAAAAAAATTGTGGAAAAACAAAGATACATAAATAAATTAAATAATTAAATATACAAAACAAATATTTTTATCCATTTTAATCTTCAAGTTGTTTCTGGATTGTGAAATATTCACGTTGGGAGTGTGCATGTCCGACTAGGCTAAAATAAATCAGAATTTTAAGTCTACAAATCCGACTCGAGGATCCAACCAGACCAAATAGAGGCAGACCTCAGACCTCTCCAGATAAAGCTCAAGCATCTATCAGATACTCCAACGTAATCGTCATTGAGGCCTGGGTCGAATTTTCTATAGTCTTCGAAGCCAAAGATGTGCGATTCTGTTTACGGGCCGGAAACCCTTCCTGAAAAATGTTTCGGCGCCAGGATCTATAAAAAAACTGTCTTTATAAAAAGGTACATATTTGTTTATAATGATTATACGAACGTACTTATATATGTACATATATGTACGTAGAAGATAAAGAACCTAAAAGACTCGGGCCAAGATCTTATCAAATGACTAAATGAAAAATGTATTTATTTATTATTTATTTGTTCGTTTTAATGTTACTTACGTAAATACATATGTACATGTGTATATCGTATATTTTTTCCGACTACGTTATGGGATCCGCTAATGGGTTGGTATACTCGTATGTGCATATACATACATATGAACATGTTTTGATGTATGAGTAAGTTCACAGTGGAACTTGTGAATTTAAACGAAAAATAAAAATACATACTATATTTCAGAGCAGCTCAGCTTTGAATCATCACAGTTTCTTCCCAGTGCTTGTTCATGCATACTCGTCTTTTATTTTAGCTGTTGTTTCCTGTGTGACTTAAAAACATTGCAATGGATGAGGAACAAATGTGGAAAGGTTTTTTCGTCAAATTGCACGAGCTCAAAATGAATCCACCCACAGAGCACGAACATCAGTAAGTTTAATATACAAATGTAATATATGTATAGATTTGTTTTTTATGTAAATTTACTAGTGGCCAATATGAAGATATGTCGAAAATATGTATACACATACATATGTATTAATGAAAGTTTTTGGGTCCGTTCTGTCAATCTCACATACATATGTACATATATATACATATATCATAAAAGTGAACTTAAAAAATAAACAGAAATTAAGACAATGTGATTCACACATATGTATGTATGTATTCGAAGATTGGTAGTATGTTTGTACCTTACGCAAGCAAGGCACTAGCATGGGCGGTCTATGCAGATTTACAACAAAAACCACCACCGTTGCGACGCGTCGCAGTCATGAGCCAAGACACATTATGTGTTCTTGCAATCTCGAGATCGCGGCGTCGAATCATTTTGGCCGCCTGTTTGAAGCCAAATTTCAGTGGCATTGTTTTTGTAAAGTTTCAAAGATCGCTGAACGCGAGCGACGACCGTCTGGGACAACTTGCTAGCGCCTCCCAAAAAACAACGGAAAGAGCGACGGCGTGCCCACCTCTTCGTTATATTCATATATCTCAAAATAACAAAACTTAAGAATCATAGAGAATAAACGTCTTTGGTGTGTCATAAAAAAATTAAAATTTATATTTCACAGGTTACAGGATGGAGACGATGGGTTTTTCGAAAAGTTCGGTTCGCTTTTACGACAGAAATCTCAATTAAATGAAAACATTTTAAAAACACCATTGTCAAATAAGGATATTCAAACAGAAGAAAGCGAATTGATTATAGACAAACATAATCATGCTGAATATGACTGTATTGAAACATTTGCGGGGGAAAGTGATATACAAATTGATACAAATGATATAAGTGATGCAGTTTTTGACTCTGGAACTGTAATGAATGTAAGTATATAGATATCCTGCAACCCCATTTAATTCGATTCGAATTTAAATACTTTTGAAGATTTATGAAAAGTATCACTTAAATCATCAATCATACTGTTAATACATGGAATACACCTACTAGGCTTTCGGTCTTCCCAATCTTTTTATCATCTATTAATGTATGATTTCATTGTGGTCAAAAGTGCGCCACCGAGCGGTGCGATGGCATAGGGGCCGCAGAGATATTCAATCTTGCCCTTTCCAAGGAAAAGCTTTGGGGCAAATCAATATTGGGGCCCCTTTTTATCAGGATCAGATCGTCTTTACACTTGAGGATTTCAACACTGTACAGCCAGCCACATTAAAGGATTTCAAGAGAGTCGCGTGGACTTGTCAAGCTTTATAATGACGTTTGGGCAGATATCCCAGTCGGAGTGGAATCGTTGTGTATAATTTTTCAATTTTCAGTTCTTAGTTTTTTTCTTCATAAAAATTCCCCCTATTGCACCACCTCCAGCAAATTTTATATACGTAAAATCATCGCAAAGCCAGAAACAAAGGTAGGATTTACAGGAAGTGGCTAGCAATTTAACGAGCGATAATTAAAATTTAATTAGTTAACAATCAAAAACAGTTTGCAAAAAAAACAATGATAGGCAAATCCTTTGATTGTATCTGATGGACGCCGCAAAGTTTATACCAGAATAACTCAATTTTAGTTGTTGGGTTACGCAGACGATATTAGCCATTAATCTATAGAAGATAGCCAGTGGTGCAGCAGTAGAGTAATAGCCTTTTCACACTGGGCGCGTTACCTATCAATATCGGACTGGACGCAATGAAGCAGAAAAGGCGATCACATTGGCAGACGTGCGTCTTCAGAAGAGCAGATTTGGGTGCTTGATGACAAGAAAGTAACCAAATTTTGGGAAATCAACAAAATTAGGCAAGACGACAAGAAAATCCCAAAAACTTGTGGAAGTTCTTTTTCAAACCATGTATATGGTATATTATTTATTTTTCTCACAATCATAATTTTTAGCTCCAAATATGATTTTCGATCTGCAAGTTTTTGTTGTTCTAAGTTGCGCTGATAGGCAAAAAAGTGCAAAAATGTCCTGTTATTCCCTCTGCACACTGAGCCCATCCCGGGGGAACGGTGGGAAATTTTTAAAGATGTGAAATACCGGTTCACACTGACACCCATCACCATCCATTAGAAACAAATACACAATTGCGTGCGGTGAAAATTTGTAAACATTTATAATTAAAATGAATATAAATAACATTGCAATGGTTGCGAATGTGATTCAGCAGCAACATGGATGATGAGGACAACTTTGAAGAGGAGGAGACAATAGAATGGATATCTGTTTTGAAAATAACCGAAGCAAGGAAGGTTTTGGTCATTTCTGACTGCTTCTAGTAAATCCAATCAATGTTTTAAATACAAATATATATTCTATGTTTGTTGAGAAACGGTTTGTGACATTTTGGGAGAAGATGCGTATGGACCTTCCGGGTGTTTTACGCGGTTTCGAAATCCGTGAGGATCGAGGAGAATTTTGCAAAGGCAAGGAGTTCCGCTAGCGTCCTCTTGGATGCATCTTTCAGCGATGCCAGTACCGGGCTGCCAAGATATTTGTTTCTTGCCCTTGAGAGGGCCGGGCATTGGCAGATTAGATATTCCGGGGTTTCGATAGCCCCAGATTCATCACATTTCCTGCACTTGCCATTGTTGGTAATTCCTAGTTTGCCTGCATGTGCTGCAGCCAGGCAATGACCTGTGAGTATTCCCATTAGCATCCTACAGTCCTTCCGTGGTAGGTGCAGTAGGTAGTGGCTGAGTTTACCATTGCTCTCCTTGCACATGGTTTTCGCGATCTTGCAGTTGGTGGTTCTCCTCCACCTGCTACTGGCCTGTATGTGTGCTCGCCTCTCTAGATCGCTTTGAAGCGTTCTGAGGGAGACAGGCACGTTCTCAGTCCTGTCGCTGACCAGCCCGACGCCTTCCTTATCCAGCACATCTGCTGTCTCGTTGCCTTCGATGCCCTGGTGGCTGGGAAACCCAATATATATATGCACTGACTTTGTCATGCTTAGGAAATCTAACATTTTTGGAACTGACCGCTGACGACTGCATGGATCTTATCGCCGCCTGGCTGTCCACGAACAGGTTGATCACATTATGTGGGCGTTCCGTACATCGAGCAACCTCCGCCGCTTTCCGTATGGCAAAGACTTCTGCCTGGAATATGCTGCATTGGTCCGGTAGCTTATAGGACAGCCTTATTTCAGAGTCTGTACAGTATATGCCCGCACCTACTCCTCCCTCCATCTTGGAGCCATCCGTGTATATATTTAGGTGTTCATTCTGATCCCAACTTTCTTCCCAGTCGTCGGGTCCCATGTGTATCGCAGTTTTGACGTCCAGGCAAGTTCGGGGGATCATGTCATCATCTGACATATCAGATGTTTTTTTTTTTTACCATTTTCTGTCTGTCATTGTTTACATTTTCGTAGTGAATTCCGATTTTTTGTTGTGAATATCAAATATTTATGGTTGCATTTGACAATAATAGAAAAAATACCGCAGAGAAACGTGCGAATTAGGAACATCCCAGATGGATGATGACATAACTGGAAAATTTTCGGAACGGCAAAACCTTACGGACCATCCCAGAAATGGATGGTGGATGGTCGCCAGAGTGAAAAGGCTATTAAGCACAAAAGCAAAGGAATATTTCGAATATACGCACATGCATGCAAAGCGACGCAATTTTTGGCCAGCACTAAGCCTTTTACTGAACCTATGTAAAAAAAACTTCGTCGCCGGCAAGACGCAAAGATGCATGACGCAGTTCCAGTCCATACAGCCTATAAATTTCTACTATTTTCGTTGTTTGCACTGCCCTTGTACCATATTGTCATCAACATATCTATGATCATGCATGGAACCACCCTATGCAGACACTCACTCTCTTCATTCCGCGTCATTCTTTCTTTTTCTTTAGCTAGTTCTTCAATCCGACACAGTCTTGAATCGACTACCGTCTTTAATCTGACATCGTTTTGAATCGAGCTAACTCGTAAACTGACTTGTCGACTCGTCTTAAGCCTATCTGTCACTTTTCGCTATCTCTTCTCCGCTGTATCGCATATTACAACACAATTAACTTCGCCTGTACTAAACCGAACAATCATCGACTTTACTAAATATATTGCAAAACTACCCTACTGAAAAAAATCAATACTCGTGCAACAATATAGAAGCTTTAAAAATCGTTGAATTGTATAATTTATTAATTTTGAAACGGTATTAAAAATGGATAAAAAATATCATTTGAGATGTAATCTAGGTTGGTTAATTTCCAAATAAGGACGAACAAGAGGGAACGTCGTGAGTCGCTGCAAGGTGGTCCCGTCCCCCAATAAGCTTTCTTTTCGGAGGGTATTTTGCAAATACAACAACAAACTCGCTGTGATAGCATGTGTGAGAGTGATTAACTAGATTTGTGTGAGTGTGAATAAGATCGGAACGGGACCACCTTGTATAATTTCATCATGCCCGTACTCAGTCAGCATATATGTGAGGTTATGATTTATGTAGAATTTTTACATATTTTATCTGTTTAAATTTATTTGCTACATATGTCATCTACATCTATCTACTGTGAGAGTGAAACGAAGTAAAAACTTTGACGTATGAACTATTATGTCTTTATTTCTTCAAACAAAACTTTTTTTCTAGCTGCTCCATTTAGAACAGAGGCCGGCAGCGTCGAATATACTGTGCATAGGAAAAAATCTCGGGCAGCGCAGTCGGCACACGTACAGCATACAAGCTTCGTGTAGATCGGCTCGGCTTCCGCAACGGCAGAAAACTAACTTTGTGTGCCATATGCACAATTTCTCGGCTGTCGCAGCGGTAGAGAAATAAGTGAAGTGTCTGTTGTCTTCGCACACAAACAAACTAATACATGAGAGTGTCTGCATGCCGACCCCTGCTTTAGAATGATCCAGCGTATATATACATACTTGTCGAGGGGCTATATATCTGGTATTTCTCTAGTGTGAAGAAAGAATAGCTTTGTAGCGCTGGAAGGGGGAAACTAAGCCACTGAACATAACATAACTTTTTGCACTTCGTGGCCTTAATTGGGACCCCGCTAGACATACTTTCTTATGAGAGTAGGCTCCGGCACCTCGATATCCCCCTCTCTTGAAAACCGTATGATTTGCCATGGAGTACTTTTTCTTCACAAACTTCTCGCTGGTGAAGTTGATTCCACTGCCCTCAGTAGCCTTATTAGCATTTCTGTCCCTACCCGCCCGACTAGGCATAACTTTCCCCTTCATCATCAACTCTGTCTTTCTAATTACTCTGACCATGAATCTTTTCGTAGCCTTTGCCGTAACTACAATACCTTCTTCCATCTGCCTTCCTTCGACACTAGTTCTGTTAAGGTAAAATTTTTGTTAACAAATAACTTAAATTAATTAATCTTAACTTAATAGGCTATAGGCTATTTCCTGACCACAACTTGCTGTGAGCTGGACCATAGCGGCTTTTTTACAAAATACAGCAATTATTCGGGGTATCGACGGGTATCGATAGCAAACAGCTATTTTTGGCGCATCAACCATAACAACAATGCTGAAAAACTATGCGACAAAAGATGCGGCTTTGGAGTAAACGCCTCTCACTATTTTTCCGCACCTTCGACAATGATGCGGCAGTGTAAAAAGGCTATAACACTACTCGACTTCGGCTCGCTTCGAACCAAACCGACTTTTTCGGATAGATTCGGAGCTTTTAATTTTTTTAACGAACAATGTAATTTTCGGAGGGTTTGTCAACCAATTTTAGATCAGCCGTCCCTCCATAGATTTTAATAAGCAATACCTTAAACGCCGAATTAATGCACCTATACACTAAAAAATATAAAAGACCCAGGATATCATTTTTTATTCAACTTTTCCTGAGTTTTTATTGTAAAAAAAAATAAACATACAGCACGAAAATCAACATTTTTGCAATTGAAATCTTAATCTGTGGCAAACACTTTTGAGCGGAAAAGCGTTCGTGCCTAAAGGGCTCGTTTTAGTAGGAAAGTAATATGTTTAGATGATAAATAAGGGAGAGGGCCCGGTTGTGGACATAGTTAGGTTTTTGCCTCATAACTTTTGACCAATTGCATATTATACAAACATATCTGTACCAATTTAAAGCTAGAGGCATGGCTAACTATCAGTGAAGAACTAAATTGATTCCTAAATTCGGAAAAATTGTATCAAGAATTTAGTGAAGTAATCTTTTTTCGAGAAAAAAAAATATAGGCCTAGTTGTGGACCACCCTGAAAAATCCGCTTAAAATTAAAAAATATGAAAGAAAATCACCACAAATAACGAGAAATTGGAAGTTTATTTATTTTAAGAGCCTACTGGCTTAAAGAGAAAGAAGGATGATACTTTTTAACATGAATCATCGTAGTCAGAGTCGCAGTGTTTGCATGTGAAGTAGCTGGCACGCATATTAGCGCACTTTAAATGCACCAGACGACTACATTCATTGCATTCGATGGAGTTTGCGGCGGTCAACTTCTTTGGCAGGAGGTGCAGACAGATGATGCAGAAATCCTTATCATCTTCGGAAAGAGCCTTGCTTCGCTTAGCTGCTGGTTTGCCTAATGATGCCTTCCGTCCACGCTTTTTCTGGGCAGAAACAGATGCCTGCTTCCTCAAGGAAGCAATACAGTTTGATATTCTGTGCAGCATTGTACGCGTGAAATGAGATCTTATACGTCACACGTACACATGCTGCCATGCAGCCGCTGC